AAAGCATTATTGCTTATGGACTAAATTAAGCATTTAAGTTTAAATAATGCAACTGTAACGAAAGACTTGCCACCTGTGTTTTCTTAGTTTTTTCGTCCTCAGGACGCGGTAACACAAGACAGTGTGCCTTTGAATTAATTTAAAAATAAAGTGAGAGCCCAAGGACCAAGATAACTATTAATGAATACTCTTTCGAAGTACTCGTAGAAGCCAGATTTGAAACTTACGACCCAGATCTAAACGTTGTTTAGAATTTTACAAAGTCAAAATCGCAATAACAACCTTGTATTTAGCGTACATACGATATATACTCGTATATTGAAACAATCGATTTCGAGGGCAGCTAAGGGTTCCCTCTTCATCAGGAGAACGAAATTACTAGAAATGGGATAAAAGAAGAAAAATAAAGCATTGGCAAAGGAGTCTCAGAAATACGTGGTCCTTATCAGCACTGCACGTGGTCGTAACCGGATTTTGAATCAGAGTTACACTGGCCGCCTACTTTTACTGAGCCAGGCTATCTGATCAAATATATCATCAATCAAATACACATGGACTCTGATCAAATACACATGGACTGAAAAATCAAAAAAATTTAGCGAAGTCAAAAAATACGGAACGAGGGGCAACTGCACCTTCACGCACTAAGTCGAATGACTTCTATGGCTCTATTCATTCATCGTGAAGCTTTTGTAGCCAAACGTATTCCCGAAAACCGAAAAATCGTTTTCAGTCAAGCTGTGAAAATTGTTAGGTTTTTTAAAAGATGAGCCTTAAATTGGAAAATATTTATGATTTTATGCAAGATATGGGCAGTGAACATGAAATACGTTTCCTATATTCCGGAAGTGCGGTGGTTATCCAGAGGCAAAGTTTTAAATCGTCTTTTTGAACTTCGATCAGGTATTCAAATTTTCTTCTGCGATTCAAAATTTGAATTATTAAAATGTTTATTTAGGAAATTATGATTGGTACGTTTAGTATATTTCGTTGGTTAAATTTTCGAACGTTAAATGAAATTAAATTTAGGATTTTAAGGACAGAGTGCAATTTAGTTAACCTTTAGAGTAAAATAAATGCAAAGATGAAAAACCTCGAGCTAATAATAAAAGAATCAATTAATAATATTTTAAGCTTTTTAGCCACTTTTAGAAAATTTCCTAACAGAAAATAATTAGAAAATAAAAGAATTAGCATCCGAGATTAAAAAAAATTGTTTTTCATTGATAAATAATATTCAACGTGTATTTTCCCGAGGATTATAAAAAATGTAAATTGGAATTAGAAATCCATTTTGTCCAAATGTATCTGAAAATTTCTCTCGTGAACAAAAAGAACAGTTGATAAGACTTTCTCGTGATCGAACAACAGTAACACACTTATTGTATCTTAATAATACACTTGTTAAGGTTTGGCTCAACACACTCCAAAAAGCTGTAAAGGCATTTCAAAGAAAGTTATTAAATTTTTATTACCTTTTTGCACAACCTATTTGTGTGAACGAAGATTTTCTTCCATGCCATATTTCAAAATAAATACAGAACAAAATTACAAGTGGATCCTAATTTACGGTTAAAAGTGAAATAAGACCAGACATAAAGAAATTAATCTCTCTGGGCAAGGTATATCCCAGTTTGAATTTGGGCCTGTTTTTACAAGCTCAAATTTCGCACTAAATGTTAGAATTAAAGTGCTATAACTTAAATTTTGATAATTAAAATGGTAGAAAATTTAAATCTAATTTTTTATGCGTGCATATTTGCGTGCATATATTATATAGGCGCACATTCCAGTACTTCCGTTTGTAATATCTTTTTATTCATCAAAAAATTTACCTTCCAAAAAACTTTACAACGACAAGATTTAAACTACTATGCGCACACTTACAAATATATAGATGATCTTATTACGTTTAATAATAAGATGGAAAACTGAGATATTTTATCAAAATGTCTACAATATACAATGTACAGATACAATAGATCTACAACGCAAATTTCTGCTACTTATTAAAATTCTCAAAAATTATCTAGTACTTAATCGCTTTATTAATCACTGTCTTGAAGAAGCAAGCGTCTAATACTCTATCTAAATCATTTAACCGGTAGGGACATGAAACTTTGTTTCTAAAAAGAAGAAAAGGCGGTATAAGTTGTACTGCGATTGTTGAAGGATTTGTAAATAGTGTAGTTGCGGAAATAATTGATTATAATGTAAAAAAATCGTTGCTTTCTGGCATTTTCTTGTTCCTTTGGTTATTACTAAAAATGATGAAAAAATGATGAAAATGAATTACTAAAAAATGATGAAAATGAGCCTTATTTCATACTAAAGTCTGCTAAGTAGCTCGTTAGCAGTGCAAATTACTTCTCCTTCTTTTCTTCCTCATTCTGGCACGACCATTAGCCAGAAATTAATTAATTTCCTTTCATTAGTCAGTATAATGTCAACAATTTTAACAAACGCATTTACAGTCGCAAAAGAGCTCCACAACCGTTTCCCTTCTGCATTTCAAACATACCTTTCCAAAGGTTACCGCCTGTAATATATCAAGGGTCCCCGCTGCTCTTCTCTACATCTCGGATCGTATAACAAACTCCTAAGTAAGAAAACAAATCCGAAAACATCACTGCCCTCCCACTAGAAAGTACGTTAATTAATTCATATTCTGGCCTTTTATGTATATTATGTACATTTAAATTTGATATATATATATATATATATAATATGATATTTTAATATTTAATTTAAATTTGATATATATATATATATATATGATTAATTTGATATATATAATGTGATATATATAAATATCTTTAAATTTTTCAACTTCTACTTCATTAATTTTGAAAATGCTGCGTTTTTTATTATGTTTATAACGATTACTTTGAGTTATATTTAATAAATTTGGCAAAGATTAAATGTTTATACAAATACCTTGCATTAACATGCATGAAAACGAGGGTGTCGGAGGATACCTTGCTCAAGTAACATAGAAAAAAGCTTTACTATTACTTAATTTACCAAAGAAATTTTGTTACTAGTATTCAATTTGGCAATAATATATCAAGATTTCTAAACAATTCATTAACTTAACGGAATTTCTAAATTAATAATAAATTCTTTAATCTCACTAATTTGGATTAAAATTCAACTCACAAGATTGGCTTGAACTCAAATTGCCAGTTTGGCATCATACTTCTTACTTGAGCAAATGACGAAACACCTTCGCATTTATTAATTATTGTCAATTGAACGGGCTTGGTTTGTTCCCCTTGAAAAGTAACCAATTTCCGATTAATTAAGATAATTACTTAGTTTATTAATTTTCATTTCAAAAAATTTCCATTTCCGTTTTTCATGATTAAACTTTTATTTACTTTAAAAATATTATTAGGAGATGATACACTGAATATTATTATTATATTACTTTGCAGCTATTGCGCAAGCATTAGGAATTTTATTTTGATTTCCATAAATTTCAGTTAATTCAATCATATATATATATTTTTATGTATATTATATCTCTATTGAAAAATAACCATTTTAAAATATAGTGGTGGTACTAAGGTTTTTTTCAATTTTGTTTAGATGGCACGACCTTAGGCAAAAGGTTAAGAACCGTTGTGTTAGATTTTTGATTGCTTTCTTCCTAGGATGTCTAGAATTCATTTAGTTGCCAAGTACGTTCCCGATATATTTCGGAACTTTTATTTGTATTGTTAGTAATAGTATTTCACTATTGTTAGTAATTTAGTAACAAAATTCGGGGAAATTTTAACAAACTTTTTAAATTCCTATCTGGACATTTTTTCTCGCAAAATATACAATTAAACAAATATGGTTTTTCGATTGACATACAACTAGCAATTTGAGAGTTTTGGAAGCTTTTACGAAAAATGAAGTTAGGCTAGATATAATCCGAGTTCCTTTTCATTCAGGAATTTATTTAATGCAAAATGGCGTTATATAATTTCCTTTGAAACTCAGTATTATGTCTGGTTTAACTTCATTTTTCGTTACAGTTACCCAACACTCTAATCGCTTATTGTTTGTGAATTGAAAAACTGTGTTGGTTTAAACATACTTTGAGAAAATCTGCCAGGTTAATGTTTCTTGTTTTGACTACAACTCAATTTTAAATTAATTGAATTGCAGACACTCATGTTGCAAATAACAGCTTGAAAACAAAAGCAAATACATTTAGAAGCCAAAAGCATTCTAAAAACAGCCTAGTTACATCACAAATAATAAGCACGTAAATATTTTAAACCACGCTTTCCTTCTGTCAGACATAGCAGTTTCACTCGAGAGAACAGACATTCCCTCCAAAGTGAGAAGTAATTTTCAATTTTTAATACTACAATACGGTACGAAAAAACTGGTGGTTAGCTATTTCTTGGATTATATTTTATTATTACTTTTTTTTTTATTCTTCGAATCGAAACTTATGATGAAAAATTCGGTTTCGCATTATTCACCCGAAATAAAATCGCATAAAGTGACTTCAAAAATAATTTTGCCAGTTTTTCGTTTACGAAAAGTTACGTCGTTTTGCTTCTCTTCCGTTATATATTAATAAATAAATTATACATCTTAAATATATATATACCGGGTGGTTGTAATTACACTTACCCTATAAAAGGCATCCTACGGCGAAAACGGGTCAACGGAATGCAAAGAAATTTTGCATATGGGCTTACAGACGAGATGGGCGCACGTAATTTCGAAAAAAAAAAAAAAAAAAAAAAAAAAGATCTAAAAGGTCCAGCAGAGCGCGCCTTTTCGAGAAAGCATGAAATAAAACGCAATAAACGAACAAACGGAATATAGAAACAATATTAACAATCCAAAACAAGAATTCTACTTATAAAATGCAAAACCTGGGAAAGCTGTCAGTTGTAGGAGCAAAATATTGAGATTTGCAGATGTTGACGAGATATGCAGATAAAACATTTGTAGATGTTTTCATGTTTAAGTTGATATTTTCGGCTGTACTAATGGCGGTCTCTTTAGTTGAACCTGCGCTATTGGCAAAGTTGTTTTACGAAAACAAGGGAAATGCTTCTACTGCAGTTCGTGAATTTCCTTGTAGAAAGGACCTACGGCGTGGACCAATGTCTACTAAAGGTATTTTGGCTATGACTAAGAGATTTGAAGAGAAGGTGAAATTAGATGTTCAACATGAAAGAGGCCGTAAACTTGTCTCATCGCATTATCAATCATCATTTCGAAAACGATCCGGAGTTGTTAGTTAAAATGCCGCAATTTCCCGCCACAGTAAATATAGAAAGTTTTATCAGATATCCGAATTTATGTTTGGGAAAAATGAATAATAATAATATCTGCTGGTATTTAATAGGGCTGCTTCATAGGTCATTCCATTTAACATTGAACTATAAATAAATGCCCTAATAAATAGTAACTCAGTTTTATATCCAGTTTAATTCATTTTTTGAAAATAAAATGCCTAGATTAGAATTTTTGTATTTTGTTACAGTTTCAAACTAACTGAATTTTCTTCAGACTGACACTACAAATCAAAGCTCCGAAATATATCGCGGACACATTTCACATCATTCTAATCAATACATAGCAGCATAAAAAGGAAAAAAGGAAAATAGTGATCTAATCATTTTCTAAACCACCGCTTTGCCTTAAGAAAGCAACGCAGTTTTATTTAAAAGCAAAAGGAAACCACAAGGAATGTTTTGTTTTCAAAATTTTTTCCAAATGTTTATTCCCCAAAACGGAACGTAAAAACTGGTGGTCAAATCGCAATGTTTTAAGTTATCTATTCGAATGGGTTCTTTTCCATTTTAAATTCCGTTTTTTCTCCGGCAATTAAAGCTTCTGTTGAAAAATTCGATTTCAGAATTTTCATCCAAAGTGAAAATGCATATGTGTGTAACCCAAAGAATACCCACTTTTGCCCACTTTTGCCTCAACCGTGTGTTTCCTTCTCTTTCGTTAAATATTAGTAAATAAAATACATATCCTGCAATTTATATATATATATATATATATATATGTAATAAATTCAGGAGCAGGAATTTGGATTACAATTATTTGGAAGGAATTTGAATTAGAAATTAGAATTAGAAGGAATTTGAATTAGAATTTGAATTAGGAGTAGGAATTTGGAAATATTTGGATAACTTTTGAACAAGAAAAAAGTTTTGTATCAAATTTTCAAGATTTACACAGAGTAAAGGTAGTTAAAAGATGAGTTTTTCAAGCATTTGCCACTTTAGAAGATTGTGGACTCAGTCTCAGTTTGAAATTCTCAATAATCGTTTTGAGACTTTAAAACCAAACCTGTCATTCTTTTCAACTGTTATATAGTTTTGGGTTGAACTGTTGCATAGTTTGGGTTGCATAGTTTTGGGGCTTTAACATTGCTCCATGGTAAAAAGTCAAGTGATCATAAGTCAAGGCTATAAAGATACCAAGCATGTCTTTTGCCAAAGCAAATCTGTAATGTCCATTTTCAGCTTCTTATTAAGACACAGTTGTCATAATCACTTTTGATCAAGACCAGAACACTGCTTTTTGAATGTAGAGAAGCTCCTTCATGCTTAAAACCTTGTGTCTTTCATCCAGCAGCCATAGTAGTAGGCACCAGAAATGAACCTTATTCTCAAAAACTTTAGGTAACATTCTGAATTATTTGTCTGGTCAAAAAATTGTGGACCGAAGATGCCATCAGTGCACAAATGAAGCACACATTGATCTTTAGTACATGAAGAGACTTGACAACAACCATTTAAAGCTTCTCTCTGTACCAAATGTATTAACCCATTAAATAGAAGGTATGATAAGATATATTTCTATCTCATCTATCTGGTGGTCAACCGACACACATCAAGTAGATTAGCTAGAACTATACCTCAGTGGGAAAGATAGTATAATCAAAGTTAAACTAAGTCAAGTGTCGGTCATTTGGTACATAGTGTTGCCGAAATCCAGTATTTGAATCCAGTTCGAGAGGTTGCCTTAATTGAATTTTAAGAGATAAACTGTCAAGATCTTTGCACAATATTCTCCATGAATTAATTAATGTTGTTTTTGAGCCAAATGTCCAGATGATGACTACATTATTTAATATTTCAGCAGCAGTGATGCATATGAACCTCTTTTGTATCTTTTGTTTATTCTGCATGCCCCCTTTGTCATACATCAGTGGACCTACTTCTTCAAACTTGCGAGTTTGGTACCTAATTTTGTTGTTTTGGTTGTGTATTCATGTTCACAAGAAAAAAGTTTTTAATTAGTTTCCCGGAATTTTCAACGCACTTATAAATGATTGATAGTGACAAAATGGTTAATGCAGGTCGAACAATGTCCACGCCGAGGCTCGGAGTGGTCGGCCTTCTGTTGTCACCGATGATTTGGTAAGGAAAGTTGATGAAGCAATTCATGAGAACAGACGCTTCACAATCACAATGACAACTCTTTCAGAGGCATTTCCACAAATTTCACGTACTGTTTTGTTCGAAATTGTGTCTGACCGCTTGAATTATCGCAAACTGTGTTCCCGATGGGTTCCAAAAATGCTCACTGATGTTCACAAAACAAAGCGACTTGGTAGTGCCCTGACATTTCTCACGCGGTACAGTGATGAGGGAGAAAACTTTTTAAACCAAATTGTGACAGGTGATGAAACTTGGGTGTGTCATTTCACACCAGAGTCGTGGTTATCGAATGGCATTCTTTGACATGGTATACAACTGGTCACCCGCTATGACAAGTGTTTGATCACGGAAACTATGTTGAAAAATAGTTTAAGACATGTATTTTCATGTAAAAATAAAATTGGATTCGAAAAATTGTTTTACTTTTTTTTTTTTTTTTTTTTTTTTTCAAATGGACTTGTTACAAATATGCCTCGTACATACACTCTAATTACTGTTCTTAATAGTTTCTGTGGAAATTAATTGAAAATTGCAAGCTAGAAAATATTTAAAGAATTATGGATTTTAAAAAGAAGAAAGTAAGGAAAATGGTATGGAAAATGGAGCTCGGTTTTTCATCTGATAAATGGCAAAATTATCTTTACGTCATATGTGATGATAATTGCTTATTTTGAAAAGTTGCCAGTCAGAAATCTGCAAATGCCTTCATTAATTTTTTTCAGTCAAGTACCCTGCACCAAAGAGCCTTTAAAAAAGACAGGATCATTACAGTGAGAAGATGTAGCTTGTGCATTTTGTAAGTGTTTTAAGTTTGTGAATTATAATGCCACCTGAAAATAAGAAGATAAAATTTTTCGGTTATTCTTAATTCAAATAGCACTGAATGTAATCTTTCAGCCTATAGATATCATTAAAAAAATCGATTTTTAAGCATATGGAAAGAAATTTTTGTAAAATTTTTCCTCATCATTTCTTAGTGCATGTAACTGAAATCTCTAATCATCGTCAAGCATAATATCAAAGGTTACCAAGTTTACCATATTCTTTGTTATTCAATTACTGATATTTAAGAAATGTGTTTAGGCATCTCTGCATGAGTCATTACTCAAATTGTCATGTGTTGATAAATATACAGTGATGAAAGCAAAATATAATAAATAATGATTCTCCAGATTGGTGTCAGGGATATAAAGTATTAGTAAGTGTAAAATCAATGATGTTTCTATGTAGAATATTTCAGTTTGAGATCTATGCCAAGCAGATACACAGCTGCAGAGCCAAATTATTGATCACACAAATTTATGCTAAAAGGATTGTTTCTTCAAAAACAAGATATTTTATTTGGTGCCGAAGTGAAATTAAGAATCAGAACTCTTCGCATTTTATTATGGTGATGGGCAAAGTCAAATGCAGATGCATAAAGGATACAAAAAGAATCCTTAAAAAAAATTGTTGGTGACTTTGAGGACCGAATTTTAGATCATTTGGGATATTGGACATCCGGATCTCAGACTTTGTACTCTGTGTAGTCAGGAAGTCAGATATCAATAACAATAATAATATTAAGTTTAACTTTATGATAAGTCTCCGCTTAGCTACCACCTGTTACCTCAGAGCTACTCATTCTGCTATGTGATGTTATTTTTTTGTTTTATATAATTGAATAATTCACATTTGATGGTTGTTAAAAATATATGTTTCGTATTCATATGTAAAATTCCATTCAGTGACCTTTACATTTTTTCTCTTTTTACAATTTGTTTTATCTTTTATAAGTAAGCAATTTTACTTTAACTGTGTGTGCATTAGTTACTATTAACATCTAAAGTAAATATACCATTTCTTCACACTTAGGTTTTTAATAGTGTGCCTGAAACAGATGCAATACGTCGCCAACCCCCACCTTATGTGCCTCCCCCTCAGCCTGCACGTAAGGATGGTCATACATCTCCACCACTCGGGCATTTACTACAAGGAAGAACTTCTACAATAGAAAACTTTGGGAGAAGTAGTGTTCAGAATATTTCTAATTTTCCTCATAGCATTTGTTCTCCAACTTATCCTGTATTGTATCCTAATTCTCCACCCGATCAAAAAAATAGATCTGGAATCATGCTGTATAACCCAATGTGGAACAGTTAGTATATATAATCAGTTTACTTTACTTATGTAATAAACTTTTTTTCACTCTTTAAATTCAACAGGAATATTCCAGGTCATATGCAAACATAGATTTCTACATTTTATAGGTTGCCATGAAAGGTATATTTTCTTTTTAATTGAAAAGGTGAAATTTCAGTGCATGCTAAAATGCAAGGTTTGCTATTCTTGACCAAGAGCAAGTTTTCTCCCACTTCTGTGAGTAAAGTGACATCACTGAGCAGGTAGATATGTAATTGTCTTGACTGTTAGAAGAAGAAAGGTTTGGCCTTGAAGGAGTCTTAACTTTTGTCTGTCTGTTCACCTTACTTAAATATTCCAGTTTTCAAGATTGCACCTGACAGGTGAAAGTTTAAAAATGGCCTGATTTGCTGAATTTGATGGAGTTATTTTAGACAACTAAATAGGTATTGTGTATGTGCATCAACCATTGGTTTACTTATTATAAGATTTAGGTATGTTTCTTGTATGAAACATTTTTTATCACTTTTATTAGCTAATTTATATAGTATTTCATTTACATATGTTGGAGATATAGAAGTTGATGATTACATATTTTACTCTGAAACATGAATAAATTAATACCTGAGCCTAGGTAAAATATTAATTATTATCTTAAGAACCCCTTCCCAATTTATCATGACAGTGGCAATTTTCAATCAGCGTTTAAATTTTTGTAAAAGGTTCATTTGTTCTTCAGTCCTTTCAATTATGTTTATGCACAAAGTTAATTAAAATATCTGTAAAAATGCCTAAAAAGGAAAAATAATGCATATAAAGCCTCCTTTCTTTCAGCTGTTTGAATTAACTAAGCAACATGATAAAGTTATATTTCCGATGAAAATTTAAAAATCCAGGTGACTTTCCAACTATAACATCGGACGGAAAGCTCCGCCGTGTTTATGAAGTGTCATGGCCTTCTCCCTCTCAAAGGTCACGGATGAGCTCGGGTTTGAAGCCCAGCGAAGTCATGGTTGTAACTGTTGGTCCCTTTATAGGAGGCAACAGTGGCTGCCTATTAAGTGTTTCCATAATGAAATGGCCACCACTCCTGGCCCTCGTAGAGCACAAGGCTAATGGCTCTTAAATAAAGCATCTAGCCATTTAAAAACAATCCTTCTGTTCATTTTAATTGCAGATTATATTATAGATTATTATTTTAATCCTTCTGTTCATTTTAATTGCAGTGCTGCTGATGATCACATATTTTTTAGAGTTTTACGAGGTGCTACAGAATGCATACTATGCATAGTTCTTTGTAATTTTTACATTTCTTATCTTTTTGAATGACTGTAATGCTAGTATACTGTGTGTAGCCAAAAATTTGTCATCACTTCGACTCATCCATTTTTTTTTTACCTTGGTTAGAAATGTAAAAATATGTAATATGTCTCATATGTAAAAATGGAGATACAAATGCAGTAATGCTGTGGAACTGCTTTTCCTTGCATTTATGTGAATAAAGTAGGATGTGATTTTAAAGCTCACGTGTTTGGTCATTCAGAGATTTTTGTGCAAGTAAACAAGGTTGACCTAAATTGATTAGTGATAGCAGAAATGAGAATCTTGGAATCACCAAGCCAAATGACTAGTTCCCAGATAGGCTAGGTTCTGGGACAGTTCTTTGAAGTATGTTGACAAATGAAATTGTCAGATTCTATTAGAAAATATCTATGTGACTTTTAGATTAAGTTAAAAGCAACAGAACCTATCCACTGGAATATTTCGTTGCTTAGATTTTATTTATAGCACTAGTCTTCTTGCACTGCATAGATTTCTGACACCAAGTTACTTAATTGCTCCTTAGAGGTCATTTCAAATGGTGAAAAAAAGCACTGTGAATCAAGCCTCAAATGAAGTTGCTTCTATGGAACAATGAGATCTACCTGGACTTTTTTGAACAATAAGGTGCTTCTAATTGTGCAACCGAAATTTGGCACTGTTCTTGATTCGCTGTAACATGCGTATTCATAACGTAAAGTCTCAAGAATTTGGACAGATCTAAGGAAAACTGAAATGACTTCTCACCTTTTATTTCTGTGTATTCAGCATTGCTTAAAAAATCCATGTATCGCATTTGAATATATATTGATTGCCATTTCAGTCACTTCAGCTTTAAACTTTTGGTTTACTTTGCCTGTTGCTTTAAAAACTCGCTTTTTTCCAGGCATATTGTTGATTGAAGACAGACATGTCTTATTAAATTTTAATTGTTGTATTTTTGTTCAGCTTCAAGGAGTTTTAAAAATGTATGTAATATTAGGTAGGCAATTAATTATTCAAAGTACAATTTATCAGTAAAAGGTTCCAAAAATTAGGATTCAGATTCAAACCAAAAAAGTACTTTTTTAGTGTTGCTCTAACAAATTAGCCACCACTTTAATCAGTAAAAAGGAAATAAGTTCACTCTTTGACTGTTCTGATGTTAAAATAACAGTTACTAAAAAAATTGTATAAAATCGGATAAATTAAAAATTTTGTGACCTACTTATGTATTGCTTTTGTCTGATAAATTTTTTAATGATATTTTAAGTACAAACATTTCTGAAACAATATATTTATGAAATACGTAGGTGAATCCCCCCAGAAAAAAAGGTTAAAAGCATCAGCATTTGAAAAGTAATTATTTTGGAGGAAATGCTTTTTTCCCTCAAAGTGTAGACAAATTGCATTAGTTGTCTGGTAGCAGTTCTGCAAGTAGGCAGAGTAAGTTCACAGACGTGCCCAAGAAATTGCAAGACGTTAAGAAAAGTGGTCTAGTTTGGAGGTGCGAGTCATCATTTGCTCTCATTGAATACCTGGAGTGTTACCATATCATTACTATGATTGTTATAGCACCGCTTTGACAAGGTTAAGTGAAGCTATACAATGCAAGCATCCTAGCATGTTGAGTGATGGTGTCATCCTCCTGCGTGGCAATGCCTGCCTCCATACTGCTTTCCAAATTCAAGAATTGCTGCAAAATTTGAAAGTGAGAAATCTGTAGTCATGCCCAATATAACCATGATTTAGCATCCAGTGATTATTTTCTCTTTCCAAAACTGAAGAACATTTATATGGAATGAGGCTGTCTTCAGAGAGTGATATGGAAACAAATACCAAGAACTGGCTCAGTGAGCAAGGATATGATTTCTACAAAGTCGGGTTAAACAAGTCAGTCCCGCACTCAGATAAATGCCTAAATGTATTTGGTGATTATGTGGAAAAATGATAGGCTATTAAGCCTCTTAATTGCCTTTTGTATTTTCTGTCTTTTGTTAATATATAATGTTTTATTACACTTGTAACCTTTTTTTTATCCACCCTCGTATGTTACTTAAAGGATGTGCACTGCTTCTACCACTTGCTGTGCTTTCAGGTTAAATCTGGCCCTAGTACAACTTTCTAGTTTTAAAATATGCAACTGGGAGAGTTTAACGGTTATGAATATTTAGTTTTGATTGTCTCAGTGATGTTATTGGAAATAGCTGAAACATTGACATAATGTTACATATGCTTGATCAGCTATTATGAGTCACTTATTTGCATGCTTTGAGAAGAATGGGAAAAGTAAATCTTTATCTATTTATCGCAACCAAGATTGTGAGCCAGAGAACATCAGCTAAAGCCAGCAGGAGTATCAGTAATACCTTTATAGTTGTAGGAAATGGATTGGATAACATTATAATATGGTTCTAAAATAAATGTGAAAAATCTTTAATTCCTTTCAGTTTCTCATATCATATCAATACCTGGGTTCATAATGCCCCAAAATTAGAATGCTAGTAATTCGTAACAGGTTTACTTGCACGTGGGCTTTTATGAGAGAAAGCTGGTGATCTCTATGTAATATGCATGTAACCCATTTCTTTATGGGAAGCCTTTTCAGAAAGCAGTTGAATCCAAAGAATTAAATAACTGATTTCCTGCTAAATAAGCCATAATTAGCCATAATAAGGAAATAGCAATAAAGTGCCTGAGTAAATATTAGCAAATAAAATTAGCTGTATATAAAATTTTTATATTGAACAGCAAAAGCAAAAGTTGCTTGTAATTAAACGCAAAGCATAATTAAATGAATGAAGAACATAAGATTGATTTGGTGAAGCTCGTCTTTACTGAATTTAAGCTTAGGGGCCATTTTTCTGACATTTCAGCAGATGAGTTTTAAAAGTAATTGAGTAAAATTAATAGTATGTAATAATATTCATGATGAATCATCTGATAATCATAATAATATCACCATAGTCAAATTAAAATTATTTCTTTATTTAATTCATCTGTTAAAATGCTTTCACAAAGTGACTTTTCCGTTTATAGTTAAAAATTGAAAAATGTTCTAAAATGAATAAAATTCTTTTTATTTTAGTTACTAAGTTTCTCCTCAGTAAAGAGCTGAGCTCAATCTTCCCTAACAGTATTCCTTTATTTCTAGAATTAGCATTTTTGCTACTGTATTTTAAAAAATTTCAGTTAATTTCATTTGATTAACTGTTTATTTGTTTACTTGGTATATTAAAGAAGTATTTCTTGATGCAAAAAAGAGATATTAAAAGTATTAAAAGAACATTCAAAATATTTATATTGAAGTTAACAGTTACTGCATTCATGCAAAATTAAAATATTTGTTTTAGAATTTAATGAGAAGTTTTAATAATATATATATATATATATATATATGCTTAACAGATGTCTGCTTTGAAAAGAACTATTTTGGCTTGATGATCCCAGCCAGCTGGTCATTTTGTCCCTGTTAGGTAAAATTTTAAAAATGCCACATATACACAATTAATATCAATATAATCCTACAAGAGGTTACAGCATTTTATGACAAATGTCTTTCTTACATTGAGCTATGGGAAAACAGCTTTGGTAGAACAGAATCTTTTATTTGTATAAACAACAGTGAATTAGCATGGTCTGAAATTGAAGCTTCAGGGGAAAAAATTAATAAAGCTTCACAGGTAATATGATAAACATGCATCAACCTTTTTGATG